AAGCACACGAGCCCGTCCGGCGGCGGCAGCTTGCCCACGCCGGCCGCCCTCCGGAAGTGGCTGATGCCCGTCTCGAGCACCATGAGCGTCGCCGCCACGGCCAGGTTGCCGCCGGCGCTGTCGCCCGTGACGACGATGCGCGGCGTCTCGCGCCCGGACATGCCGATGCAGCGGCCGCGCGACCGGACGAGCGTCACGTAGACGTCAAAGCACTCGTTGAGCGCGTACGGGTACGGATACTCGGGCGCCTTCTTGTAGTCGACGCTCAGGATGGGCAGCCCCGTCTTGGAGGCCCAGGCGAACAGCTTGTCGTCGTTGCACCGCGGGTCCATGGCCACGAAGCCGCCGCCCGGGATATCCAGCACGACGCGGCTGTGATGCGCCAGGTCGGCCAGGGGCCCGTCGTAGTAGAGCCAGGCGGAGACGGCGTCCTTGTAATCGCTGTTGGCGGGCCGCGGGATGCGCACCTGGCGCGGCGGCCACCTCGTGAAGCGCGGGCGCATGAGGCGCTGCAGGAAGCCCAGGTACGGCGTCGTGCCCTTATTCCACGCCACGCGCAGGTGCTCGACCGTGATCATGCCGCGGACCTTGCGCACCTTTTCGTCCGCCCGCTCCGCCGCCACGAGGTAGTAGAGCGAGAAGACGACGCTGGCCAGGTCTCGCAGCCACTTGGACCGGATCTTCATGGCCGTCCAGAAGCCGGCGTCCAGCGCGGTCAGGACCCAGGTCGCCCGATAGTACGTCGGGTCGTACATGTTGGCCATGGGCTCGGGGCTGGCCAGGCCGACGAGGGCGCTGAAGTTGCGGGCCGCGTACAGGTACAGCATCGTGATGACGACCGTCTGCCATGCCGTCAGCTTGCGCGAGAGGAACTTTGAGATTTTCTGCGCAATCGGCGGGCCATGTTTGTGGCCTCTGTATGGATTTCAGTCAGTGTTCACTTCCATCAAGAGACAATAGGAAGTCGAGACATACCTGTAGAGGTAAAACGTCCAAAAGGACAAGACGGCCAGGACCTGCAGGCGCCGCGACTTGGACGATGGCCGTCCGAGGACGTGGTCTATCATGATGCAGAAAGAAAGTGACGATGCGAAGCAAAGAACAGAAAGCAAAAAAAAAA